CTTCCGAAGCAATGAGAGGCCCTTGCATGTGCTTCATGGTTTCTCTTGCAGATGCGTGTCTCTCATGGTGCAACCTGCGGGACAAATGGCGTCTCTGGCGCTTCCCTGGGCCTAATTCGTTTCGGGGCCTGGGAACCTGAAAAAGGGGCGACCCCTTTCAAGCACCCTCTAAAACAGGTGTGCACTCAACAAATCCTCCAAAAGTGGTGCCCCTGGAAACAACATATAATAACTAGACCACGGTTTGCCCGAAAGCATAACATCGCAAGCGAGGTCGGCCCAACGCTGCAGGATGCGTTCTTTTTCCCTACACGAAGCATTCGTGAAGCAAGCGCGAGACAGCACCAGGCAAGGTGCTCTGCGCAAGTTGCTCTACGCAAGCTGCACTGTGCAAGTTGCTCGGCGCAAGTTGCTCCGCGCAAGTTGCTCCGTGCAAGTTGGTCCCTGCAAGTGGCTCCCTGCAAGTTGCTCTGTGCAAATTGCTCCGTGTAAGTTGTTCTGTGTAAATTGTTCCGTGTAAGTTGCTCCCTGCAAGTTGCTCTGTGCAAGTTGCTCTGTGCAAGTTGCTGTGTGCAAGTTGCTCTGCGTAAGTTGCTCTGCGCAAGTTGCTCTGGGCAAGGCGCTCTGGCAAACTGGTCGGTGCAAGTTGGTCTGCGCAAGTTGCTCTGTGCAACTTGCTCTGCGCAAGTTGCTCTGCGCAAGTTGCTGTATGCAAGTTGCATCTTGCGACCCGCCGGTCCCGGGAGCAGGCGCGCGAACCACGAGACAACTCCCGAGGACCAGTTCGAACAACAAAAGTCGAAAAAAGCCTCGAGTTTTTGCACGCCGATTCCCGCAGAGGGTTGCGCGAGCACCGCGGAAATCGCAAAACAACTTGAGTTTTTGCACCTCGACCACGCCGATCCCCGCAGAGGGTCGCGCGGGAACTTTAGAAATCGCAAAAAACCTCGAGTTTTTGCACCTCGACCACACCGATCTCCGCAGAGAGGGTCGCGCGGGAACTTTAGAAATCGCAAAAAAACCCTAGTTTTTGCACCTCGACCACGTCGATCTCCGCAGAGGGTCGCGCGGGAACTTTAGAAATTGCAAAAACCTGGAGTTTTGTACCTCGACCATGCCGATCCCCGCAGAGGGTCGCGCGAGCATGTTAAAAACTCGCAAAAAACCTCGAGTTTTTGCACCTCGACCACGCCGATCCCCGCAGAGGGTCGATTTTCGTGTAGTGTCGTCGGCACTACCTCGCCGCCCTAAGAAGATACTTTAACTCCTCGCAAGTCAATTGCACTTGCCTCCTTGCACTTGCAACTTGCACTTGACTCTTTGCACTTGCAACTTGCACTTGACTCCATGCACTTGCAACTTGCACTTGACTCCTTGCACTTGCAACTTGCACTTGACTCCTTGCACTTGCAACTTGCACTTGACTCCATGCACTTGCAACTTGCACTTGACTCCATGCACTTGGCTCCTTGCACTTGGCTCCTTGCACTTGCAACTTGCACTTAACTCCGTGCACTTGCAACTTGCACTTGACTCCATGCACTTGCAACTTGCACTTGCACTTGGCTCCTTGCAACTTGCAATGACTCTCATGACTCCTTGCAATGACTCCTTGCAATGACTTCTTGCAATGACTCCTTGCAATGACTCCTTGCAATGACTCCTTGCAATGACTCCTTGACTCCTTGCATGACTCCTTGCAATGACTCCTTGCAATGACTCCTTGCAATGACTCCCTTGCAATGACTCCTTGCAATGACTCCTTGCCTTGCAATGACTCCTTGCAATGACTCCTTGCAATGACTCCTTGCCATGACTCCTTGCATGACTCCTTGCAATGACTCCTTGCAATGACTCCTTGCAATGACTCCTTGCAATGACTCCTTGCAATGACTCCTTGCAATGACTCCTTGCAATGACTCCTTGCAATGACTCCTTGCAATGACTCCTTGCAATGACTCCTTGCAATGACTCCTTGCAATGACTCCTTGCAATGACTCCTTGCAATGACTCCTTGCAATGACTCCTTGCAATGACTCCTTGCAATGACTCCTTGCAATGACTCCTTGCAATGACTCCTTGCAATGACTCCTTGCAATGACTCCTTGCAATGACTCCTTGCAATGACTCCTTGCAATGACTCCTTGCAATGACTCCTTGCAATGACTCCTTGCAATGACTCCTTGCAATGACTCCTTGCCATGACTCCTTGCCATGACTCCTTGCAATGACTCCTTGCAATGACTCCTTGCAATGGCTCCTTTCATGATGATGATTCCTTGCAATGACACCTTGTACTGACTCTCATGAGAACAACTCAAGTGATCCCAGCGGAAGAACCCTTCGCCATGCTTTCGGGAATAATAATAGTAATATTAATAATAATAATAATAATAATAATAATAATAATAATAATAAACATAATAATGCTAATAATTATACTAGTAATAATACATAATTAATCAAATGATCAACTAAATAAGTCTATAACTGAATACATACATAAATATATATATATATATAAATAAATAATACCTAATAAACATAATAATCATAATACTAATCACCATAACAATAATAATACCAATACACACGTAATAGCAATATTAATAATAATAGTAATAATGAATAATAATAATACTAATACTACTAAGAATAATAATAATGATAACAAATAATAACACATAATGATAATAATAAACAATCATAATACACACAGAAATAATGACGTAAATGAATAAATAAAAAAATACATACATGAATAAAGAATAACGGAACTCCCACAAGCCGCATATCCCCGCGGGGCCTTTGCATCTCAGGGAAACCCTGCTGAGACTTCCACTTCGCCCGCCTCCACCAACTCTGCGGACGCAAGTTCCTCGCCCAGGCAGGACTTCACCGGGTAGCGGTGCAGGCTGTGGATGGTCACCTCAGCCCCTCAGCGCCCACCCCCCGGATCCACCGGAAAAAACGGCCAAACACAACACATGGGGATTGCACCAGACCCCGAAACGAAAGGGAAACACGTGGGGAAAGAAACAAAACCAATCACTCCGAAAAAAAGTTGAACAGAAAATTGCCAAACCAAAAAGCAGCCAAGGTCTAGTTTCAACAACCAGACTACTTGAATGTCCATTTGCCCACTTAGCAACTGCTTTGCAAACGTGGCCACATAACCCGCTTGTAACCGGAATCCAATTTTGGTAGGTAGGCCTATTCACGGATTGTACTGAGTGGGCGAAGCATCCAAGTACTCCCCAGAAAACAAACATGGAACCTCAAACAACACAGCATGTCTACACTGGCAATGTCTGCTTGTCAGGGCATGTAATTTGGGGGTCCATGTGAATTCGAAGGGCTGCAGCTGCTTCTAGTTTGGGAATACCCTTTCGCGAAACAAGTGAGCCTCAGGTACAACACGCTGCGATGAGCGTTCAGCGCTCCGGCGAAACGCAACCTTCAGCGATCCCGAGAATAAGGAAACTGTGTGCAAGAATCCCAGGATTCTAGACCTGGGTATGGGGCGCTTCAAATCGTAACGCACTTTGGATCGATTGAAGATTCAAGATTCACAGGATTTCACAGGACTCTTGTTCAATATGCAAGATCAAACTCCATATCCGCGCATCATGGCTTGCAATCAGACTCATCAACGGCACGCTTTGAACATCTGGAAGCCAGTGCAATTCCGAGCATCGAAGCCAAAGCGAGAACCGCACATCAGCAGCAGCAGCAGCACCAGCTGACGGGAGAAAGGCCATCTCTTCGGCATGCCAAGGCTGTCCTCCTGAAACACAACCTATGTGGGAGCTTGTCCACCGTAGATGGGGGGGGGTTCAACAAAACAATCTGGCTTTTGTATGCGGTGTTTCTTAAACTAGGGAGCAGGGCCAGCTTTTGGAACCTGGCATCATATTGTGCGTCCGTCAAACGGATCCCCAAAGAAGGCCATCACTTTGCGAACCTATGCCCCGGAACCATGGCCTACAACACTTCTATCCGCGCCCGTGCTCCGATTGCTTGGCCGTTCCTGCAATCTCTGGTGCCTCGGATGAGTTCAACGGAAGCCTACAGGAAACCTGCCATGAGCAATGGCACAGCACGCTCTGCAGTCCGCCTGAAGGCTTTGAGCAAACAAAGTTCGCAGTGAGGGGTGCCAACAAACGCGGAAGCGGGTCACGGTCAAGATTCTAGGGGTTGATTCCCCATTCTTTTCAACCGAAGGGGCCAAATCCGCCACTTTGGCGAGGCATGTACGCCATGTGCGGCCTTCGTGTGCTTCCGAAAGGGAATCCGCCTGTGAAGGTTGGGGTTGAGCGTACGGGAGGGTCTCGTAAAAAGAGGCAGACCCATTTAGCCCCCAAGCAAAAGTTCTCGGAGACTTGGAGACAAACAAATTTCGGTCCTATGACGTGACTAGGTTTTGAAGTGTCCCACCTCATTCCGAGATGTTTACATGACCTGAGAGGGCTGTGTGGGTCAGTTCCAAAAGGAAATCCAGAGGCAGGGCACCTTTTGCTATGGGTCTCATTGTGGCACCATTCAATCATGCTCTACGGTTCCCTGTGGAGGGCAATGGCAGGGGGAGCCTGCAGAAGGGTGGGAGCACATGGTGCCGGACATCCCTATTTGCCAATGGGTTCTGAACAATTTGCCACCAACCCCGAAGAGACCCCTGACGTTGGTCCCGCATTTGCTTGAAGAGGCCATTGCAACTGGCGAGCTTGAACCAGATTTGCCACCATCTCGTGCTCTGAGTACCCACTCTTAGGGTGCGATGTTGACCCCCTCAGCGAAAAGAATATAGACCCTAGCCCTTAGAGTCGCCTTAGAGTGAGACTTTGCAGGTTGAAAGCTTTTCCGCCTGTTGATGTCAGCTTGCCAACTGAACTGAACAGTTGCCGACTTGCCACTCAACCTTGCCGCGGAGCTCTCTTCCCTAAGCGGGCATTTGGCAACCCAAACGGACCCTCTGAGATACGCGACTGGGGACCCCCAACCATCTCGGCCAAGTCGGCGGCAAAATTCCCCGCGTGGTCCTCGGCGCGTTTTCGCGCTGACGAAGCAAGCCGGTTGTTCGACAGACCCTCGTGTCTTCATTCGGGGGGAACACCCCAAAATGGTGGATTTCCGAGTATCCTCTTGGAAGCTAACAAAGGTTCTGTTTTTTTTTTTAGAAAGATGGTCTTCCAAGGGTCTCCAGTCAGCTTAAGTGGGAGGTATGTGCCATGGTCAGAGCTGGTCAGGACCTGGTCGAGCTATCAAAAGCCACCATCATGGGCCCCAAAGACCATCCCTGCCAACCCCAAGTAAAAGGGTGTTTTGACTACCCCTATAGTGAACTTGCAGGTGTAACATATGGCTTTTGTTTTCTGATTCGAACAACGTGCATACGCACAACATGATACGTACCTTCACCCGTGCTTTTCCAAAAAGCAGCGTGTCTGAAGAGCGAACACCAGCATCCCAAACCAATCCAAATCACTGTTCGATCTCAGAAAGCATCTCGTGCTTTGATCCATTCGAACATGGCAATATGACTTTCTTTTCCAGCCGGATTCTGGCTGGCCCCACTTTTCGTCACCTTGAGTGTCCATCGTCCTTCCACGGCCACCCCGAACCCCGCACCTGCAGGGCATCGCGCAAACCGCAGGTATCCCGCAGCCAGCCTGGGAGCCGAGCCGCGAGACGTGGGGTGGACAGTAGCCGTGGGATGAGGCACTCAGGGGCTGAAGACGGGGAAGCGAGCCGAGAACCTAAAGCCGCATTTTCAGGGGGGCTGGGGGGGGGACTGGAGGGGACTGCGTTGGCTGATACGAAATCAGTCCGAGCCAAAAGCACCTGTGCGATTGAACAGGAGGCTATTGATAAATCCACATTTTGTGGAGGCTGTTTTGGGAACAAGGGTTGTCACGTGAGCCCGGAAAGCAATCAATGCACTCTTGTGCCTCCATTCACCATTTGCTGGCCAAGGCGCGGCAAAGCTCCAAATGTCCGGCCCAAGCAGCCTGCAAATGCACCAAGTCAAGTCTGAAAACAAATACTTGATGCCCACCAAAATAAGATGATGATATCACAAGCACCGCGAGTGTACCAGTCATGACCAGTTCCCCTTAAAAGAAAACAGAAATAAGCTGAAAAATGACACTTGCCCAGCCAAAAAAACCAGGGAAACGAAAGGCGAGGCCACGAAACAAAGAACAAGAGCCAAAGAAACAAAGGTGAAAAGAACGGCTCCCTCTGGACCTCGCGACGCCGCCTTGTGCAGGCAGTTGTGGCCGTGCTCCTGCACCGCTGCGAAATCGCAGCCGCGGGATTTCAGCCTCGAGGGCAAAGGCATTTTGAAGGGGAGCCCCGTTCGCTGGGCTCGTCAGGGGTCACTGGAATTTCCCCTTCAAAAGCTGCAATTGAGTGGGAAACCGCAACTTTCGGAGGTTCCAAAAAGGGAAATGGAGGAAGGCTTGTAGGAAAGCTTGTATGGCATTGGAACCCGAGAAGCAAAAACCGGCGGGTTCGTTTTGTCGCAAAGACCAGTGACGCGCCCCCCAGATTCACACGGTGCATCCAAGACAGGCCCATGCAACCCTCCAACTGCGGGTTTTTGTGCCGAGTTGAGCTGAGTGCAGCACCACTCGGCCAGAGGAATCAAGTCCTGGCCATCCCTGCCATGATTCGTGCTGTGACACAGGAGAAAACATCGCCCGAGGGCCGCTTGCATCTCAGGGAAATCAACAGCCAAAAGTGCCAATGCGTGCTGATCAGCTGCAGGTCATAGCTGCAGGTGGCGGTGCTTTCCAACCTTCGAACATCAAAACGTGCATGTTGCATCAGCACATGAACGTCCTAGTGTTATCAAAACGACGGCGCCAAACAGCGACCACATTGCGCATTTTGCGCAATGTCACTCGCTTTGGTTTGATGTCTGCAAGTTTCAGCGGCCCCCACGCAGGAAACAGGACAAAACGGTGAATCCCCTCTTGGTTGGGTAGAATCTCATATAACCTCCTGCCGGATAAACAGCGGCTGCCCCTTGTGGGAGATTCATCACAGGGAAAGAGACCATCCACAAGTTGGACGGGCTCAGATCCGGATGCTTCAAGCATCGCCGGCGCCGCCTGCCCGCGCGCTCCCGTGGAGCCTGGCGCATCAAGAAAAAGGAAAATGCAACCAAACTCAAAAAAATACAGCGTGGTTTAAGGCAAGCAAAACCTCAAACAACAGACACTTGGAGGGGATGATCCCTGCTTGCTGAATATGTTCAGAGATGTGAGGAAGTCATTCCTTTCCTCAAGACAGAGATACGCTTCTGCTTCGGCACAAATACATCCGTAAACAATAAGAACCTATGTTTCAGCAGTATTGACATGTTGAAGCAGGCAAGTCGCCCAACTATGCCTCTAGCAGGCTGTACCCCAGCTAACCTGTAACCTCACTCAAAGAGTACCTGACGCGCGGGGGTACCTGACGCGCGGAGGCTGGAGGCGGGGGGGGGGGGGGGAAAGGCGGTTAGTTACTTAGTTAGTTAGTTAGTTAGTTAGTTACTTAGTTACTGAGTTAGTTACGTTAGTTAGTTAGCTAATTGGTTAGTTAGTTAGTTAGTTAGTTAGTTAGTCAGTCAGTGACGTAGTTAGTGACGTAGTTAGTTAGCTAGCTTGTGTAACCTCACTGAAAGAGTACCTGACGCGCGGGGGTACCTGACGCGCGGAGGCTGGAGGCGGGGGGGGGAGGAGTAAGGCGGTTAGTTAGTTAGTTAGTTAGTTAGTTCGTTAGTTAGTTACTTAGTTACTCAGCTAGTTAGTTAAGTTAGTTAGTTAGTTAGTTAGTTAGTTAGTTAGTTAGTTAGTTAGTTAGTCAGTTAGTGACGTAGCTAGTGACGTAGTTAGTTAGGTAGCTTGGTAGCGCACTTGGTTGGTTAGCTGCCGCACGGGCTCGGGAAAAATATGTCACGCGCATAATCGAGTTTCACGGTACCTGACGCACGGGAAGGGGGTACCTGACGCGCGGGAGGAGGGAGGTGCCTAAAGGGTGGGATGTTGAGAGCAAGTGCCTGACGCGCGGGATCGCCGCGGACCTGTAACCTCACTTAAAGAGTACCTGACGCGCGGGGGTACCTGACGCGCGGAGGCTGGAGGCGGGGGGGGGAGGGGTAAGGCGGTGAGTTGGTTAGTTAGTTAGTTAGTTGCGTAGTTAGTTAGGTAGCTTGGTACCTTACTTGGTTGGTTAGCTACCGCACGGCTGGGGAAACAGTACATCACGTGCGGGATCCAGTTTCGCGGCACCTGACGCGCGGAAAGGGTACCTGACGCGCGGGAGGAGGGAGGTGCCCAACGCGCGGGATCGTGAGAGCAGGCGCCTGACGCGCGGCATAGCCGCGGACCTGACGCGCAAAGGCTGGGGGGGTTGGTGGTTAGTTAGTTAATTAGCTAGCTAGCTAGATGGCTAGTTAGTTTGTTAATGAGTCAGTTAGTAGGTAGTTCTATAGTTACTGGTTCGTACCTAACCTCTAAACCTCACTCAAAGAGTACCGGACACGCGGAGGTACCTGACGTGCGGATGCTGGGGGGGCTATGGCGGTTAGTTAGTTAGTTAGTCAGTTAGTTAGTTAACTAATTGGTTAGTTAGTTAGTTAGTTAGTTAGTTAGTTAGTTAATTAGTTTTACTTGTTTTTTGTTGCTCCATGGGCTCGGGAAAAAGTACATCGCGTTTGGCGGCACCTGACGCGCGGAAAGGGTAACTGACGCGCGGCAGGAGGGAGGTACCTAACGCGCGGGATCGTGAGAGCAGGCGCCTGACGCGCAGGATCGCCGCGGACCTGACGCGCAAAGGCTGTAGAGGAGAGGGGGGTTGGTTTTTGAGTTGGTTAGTTGGTTAGCTAGCTAGCTAGTTAGTTAGCTAACTAATGAGTTACCTGGATAAGTAGTTCGAAAGTTACTAAGGTAGTGAGATAGTCAGTTAGTGAGTTAGTACCTAACCTGTAACCTCACTCAAACTCAAGAGCACCTGACGCGCGGGGGTACCTGACGCGCGAAGGCTAGAGGCGGAGGGGGGGGGGAAGGCGGCTAGTTAGTTAGTTAGTTAGCTAGCTAGCTAGTTGGTTAGTTAAATAGTTAGGTAGTTAGTTAGTTAGTTAGTTGGTTAGTTAGTTAGCTAGTTAGTTAGTTATTTAGTTAGTTAGTTAGTTAGTTATTTGATGAGTTAGTGACGTAGTTGTTCCTTACTTGGTTGGTTAGTTGCCGCACGGGCTGGGGAAAAGTATCGCGGTACCTGACGCGCGGAAAGGGGGCACCTGACGTGCGGGAGGAGGGAGGTACCTAACGCGCGGGATCTCGCGAGCAGGTGCCTGACGCGTGGGATCGCTGCGGATTTGACGCGCAAAGGCTGCAAAAAAGAGTTGGTGGGTAGTTAATGAGTTAGTTTGTTTGCTAGCTAGCTAGTTAGCTAATTAATGATCGAGTTAGTTAGTTAGGTAATCGAAAGCTACTAAGTTAGTCATTTAGTGAGTTAGTACTTAACCTGTAACCTCACTCAAACTCAAAGAGTACCTGACGCTCGGGGCTACTTGACGCGCGGAGGCTAGAGGGGGGGGGGGGGAAGGCGGCTAGTTAGTGAGTGAGTGAGTGAGTGAGTGAGTGAGTGAGTGAGTGAGTGAGTGAGTGAGTGAGTGAGTGAGTGAGTGAGTGAGTGAGTGGGTGAGTGAGTGAGTGAGTGAGTGAGTGAGTGAGTGAGTGAGTGAGTGAGTGAGTGGAGTGAATGAGTGAGTGAGTGTGAGAGAGTTAATTAGTTAGTTAGTTAGTTAGTTAGTTAGTTAGTTCGTTAGTTAATGAGTTAGTGACGTAGTTAGGTAGTTTGGTAGTTTTTGAGTCAGTCAGTCAGTCAGTCAGTCAGTGAGTCAGTCAGTCAGTCAGTCAGTCACTCAGTCAGTCAGTCAGTCAGCCAGTCAGTCAGTCAATCAGTCCTTCAAGCAGTAAGGTGAGTTAGGTGGATAGTTGCTTAGTTCGTTGTTGGTTGGTTTGTTGGCTTCGAAATGGGAGGATGGTACCTGACGTGCGGGGCGCAAAGACAAGCGTAGAAAGTTTCGAAACAGCAGCGCTCACGCACACATTTCTTTCTCTAATCTGATCGAGTCGTGTGAAAAACCACTAGGCCGGCCGGAGCATGCATGCAGCCGATTCATGTGCGTGTGCAACCTCATGCATGATGCGTGGGTCCATGCTGTGTAATGAATCAACAAAACCCGCCCAGCTGATGATGAAGAGCCTTGTTTAATATGCATGGGATTCTTCTTTTCAGGGTACCCACTGGTGAATGAGGGGCCAACATGTTCATATGTGTGGGCTGCGTGCATGCCATCGCCAATTCCGGGCCAATCATAGATGCCATCGCGGCACGGGCGGCGGGTACAGCGGCGGAGGGGGGGGGCGGGGGCACCTTCCCCTTGGGCCGGGCGCCTTTGGGGGTGCAGCCCTTGTGCTTCGGTGCCTCAGATGGCTTGGCGGGGGCGGTGCGGGCAGGGCAAGCGCCGCCAACCTGCAGATTTGCTGGCGGCCTGAGCAGGCAGGGCCGTTGACTCATGCGGCTATATCCATGCATGCGTGCATACTTGCAACCAATCATTCATGCATGCATGCATGAAACCATGTGGCCTCGCTTTTTTCGGCATGTCGAACATGTGGGCTTGCTGCAAATGCGTGATTGCATGCAATTGCTGCAAATTCGTGATTGCATGCAATTGCTGCAAATGCGTGATTGCATGCATGCGGCGTGATCATGTGTCATGCCATGTCAGCAACGCTTGTCCTGCCTGGCTTGGGATTAATTGGGCTAATGCTTGAAGATAGGGAACTGCTTCCGCGGGCACGCCTTTTGGGCCCACCTAGTTTCAGATGCCATGGGTGCACACATGCATGAATTGCCATGCTGTGAATCTCCCACAAGTTGCAGACAGCTGACATGTGTGATGCGCACATGGGAGCTGAGTCTCACACTGCCAGGCTCCATGCCAGAGGATGCTCCTTACTCACAACATGTCCACATGAAGCAAGCAAGCTGCAATCAGCACACACGCACAGACGCGTTCAAGGCTGCGGCAGGCCGCACGCGGCGCGCAACCACCCTGCGAAGGGTCTGCCGAACCTCCATGATCTCCACCTGCGAAAGCCGCAAAACATGTGGCGAAGATTTTTGGGTTTTGCCCCACGCAGCAGCTGAGTGGTCATGTCCATTACTGGCAGGTACGGGGCAGCTCATCATGTGGGCTGTGGACGCTTTGCTGACAGGCCTGGGTGCGCGGGAGTGTGTGTATTTCTTTGTTGTCAGTTTGCAGGAGTCCCTCAAATTCAACACCATGCATGCATGCATGTGCTTCAAACTCACTCATGACGCATGGAGGATCACATGCATGTGCAGGCATGGTCAGGTGTTTAATGGTCTTGGTTTGAAGGAAAGTCTCAAACTTACAAGTGCTGAATGTTTGCAATATCAAACATGCATGGTCTTGTTTTACATGAAGGTCTCACGCACACACATCATCGGAAGCGCCATGGTCTTCATGGCCCGCGGAAGCCTTGTGACCACGCTGGTTGACTGCTCTGTCCCCAAGGCCTGGCAGATTGCATGTGTTCACTGTGTTTTGACGAACTTGCATTGCAGGTGCTCATCGCAGTGGCCAGGCTCTCATCAAAGTTGCAGTTAGCCACGCATGTGACACGCGAAGGGGGGCTAGTAGCCGACGCGCGGAGGGTACCCTGACGCCGCGCGGAAGGGCTGACGCGGGGATCGGGATTGGAGGGTACCTGACGCTCACGCTAGGGCGCACCCGCGGATGGGGATGGGGGGTACCTGACGCGCGGAAGAGGGGATAGTAGATCGGGTCAGGCGGTACCTGACACGCGGCAAGGCAAATCGAGAAGCTGACGACGTGCGGAAGGGCTGACGAAGGTGGGATAGTAGCTGACGTGCGGATCGGCACCTGACGCGCGGAAGGGGGAGAGTAGCTGACGCGCGGATCGAGTCCTGACGCGCGGCAGGGCGAATAGCAGCCGATGCCGCGCGGAAGGGCTGACGCGCGGATCGGGATTGGGGGGTGCCACGCTCACGCTAGGGCGCACCTGACGCGCGGATACCTGACGCACGGAAGGGAGGATAGTAGGTCACGCGTGGATGGGGATGGGGGTACCTGACGCGCGCAAGGGGGATAGTAGCTGACGCGCGGATGGGGATGGGGGGGGTACCTGGAAGAGGGGATAGTAGATCGGGTCAGCAGCTGACGTGCGAATCGGGTCAGGGGGACGTGGGCGAACAGCAGCTGACGCCGCGCGGAAGGGCTGACGCGCGGATCGGGATTGGGTGGTACGTGACGCTCACCCTAGGGCGCACCTGACGCGCGGACACCTGACGCGCGTAGCTCACGCGCGTAGCTCACGCGCGGATAGTGAGCGAATGGGGCACCTGACGCGCGGAAGAGACTGGGATAGTAGCTGACGTGCGGATCGGGCCTGACGCGCGGCAGGGGTGCCTGACGCGGGTACCTGACGCTCACGCTCCCTGACGCGTGGAAGGGATGATAGTAGCTCGCAGAGATGGTAGTAGCTGACGCGCGGATGGGGATGGGGTACCTGACGCGTGGAAGAGGGGATAGTAGATCGGGTCAGGCGGTACCTGACACGCGGCAGGGCGAATAGCAGCTGACGACGGCACGGAAGGGATAGTGGACGTGGACACGCGGAAGGGGGGATAGTAGCCCGGAGGGTACCCTAACGCCGCGCGGAAGGGCTGACGTGGGGATCGGGATTGGAGTAGGGCGCGCCCGCGGATGGGGATGGGCGGCGCCTGACGCGCGGAAGAGGGGATAGTAGATCGGGTCAGGCGATACCTGACACGCGGCAAGGCGAATAGAGAAGCTGACGACGTGCGGAAGGGCTGACGAAGGTGGGATAGTAGCTGGCGTGCGGAGCGGCACTTGACGCGCGGACGGGGGGAGAGTAGCTGACGCGCGGATCGGGCCCTGACGCGCGGCAGGGCGAATAGCAGCTGACGCCGCGCGGAAGGGCTGACGCGCGGATCGGGAGTGGGGGGTGCCACCCTCACGCTAGGGCGCACCTGACGCGCGGATACCTGACGCGCGGAAGAGTAGATGACGCGCGGATGAGGATGGGGGTTACCTGATGCGCGGAAGGAAAATAGTAGCTGACGAGCGGATGGGAGTAGGGGCGGAACTGACGCGCGGAAGAGGGGAGGTACCTGACGCGCGGCAGGGCGAACAGCAGCTTCGAAAAAGGCTGACGCGCGGACCGGGAGTGGGAAGCGCCTGACGCATTCCTGACGCGCGGAAGGGAGGATAGTAGCTGACGCGCGGATGGGATGGGGGGTACCTGACGCGCGGAAGGGGGATAGTAGCTGACGCGCGGATGGGGGTGGGGGGTACCTGACGCGCGGAAGGAAAATAGTAGCTGACGCGCGGATTGGGGGTTACCTGATGCGCGGCAGGAAAATAGTAGCTGACGAGCGGATGGGAGTAGGGGTGGAACTGACGCGCGCAAGAGGGGAACTGCGAAAAAGGCTGACGCGCGGACCGGGAGTGGGGAGCGCCTGACGCATACCTGACGCGCGGAAGGGAGGATAGTAGCTGACGCGCAGATGGGGGTCGGGGGTACCTGACGCGCGGAAGGGGGGAGGTACCTGACGCGCGGCAGGGCGAATAGCAGCTTCGAAAAAGGCTGACGCGCGGACCGGGAGTGGGGAGCGCCTGACGCATACCTGACGCGCGGAAGGGAGGATAGTAGCTGACGCGCGGATGGGGATGGGGGGTACCTGACGCGCGGAAGGGGGATAGTAGCTGACGCGCGGATGGGGGTGGGGGGTACCTGACGCGCGGAAGGAAAATAGTAGCTGACGCGCGGATGAGGATGGGGGTTACCTGATGCGCGGAAGGAAAATAGTAGCTGACGAGCGGATGGGAGTAGGGGTGGAACTGACGCGCGCAAGAGGGGAGGTACCTGACGCGCGGCAGGGCGAATAGCAGCTTCGAAAAAGGCTGACGCGCGGACCGGGAGTGGGGAGCGCCTGACGCATACCTGACGCGCGGAAGGGAGGATAGTAGCTGACGCGCGGATGGGGATGGGGGGTACCTGACGCGCGGAAGGGGGATAGTAGCTGACGCGCGGATGGGGATGGGGGTACCTGACGCGCGGAAGGAAAATGTAGCTGACGCGCGGGCTGGGGTACCTAATGCAGGTAGCTGACGCGCGGATGGGGATGGGGGGTACCTGACGCGCGGAAGGGGGATAGTAGCTGACGCGCGGATGGGGATGGGGGTACCTGACGCGCGGAAGGAAAATGTAGCTGACGCGCGGGCTGGGGTACCTAATGGCCTCTAGAGCATGGCAGACTCGCCAATTTGTCAAGCGTAACCTCGCCCTGTTCATGATTAACTTTGCCAATGGTCTAAACAAGCCAAAGAACAAGATGCATTGATGGAAAATTGTTTGCTCACAATCGATTGTGTCAGAGTAGATATTGATCGACATGGATCATGACAAATCTAAATCGTAATGGCAAGTGACTAATGTCTCTATGTCTGGGCTTGGCTTGGATTGTGCGTTCCAGAGCTCTATCATAACACTTGATTGCTCGCCTTACGTTTCTCGAATCAAGCTGTTCATCCACTATGGGGCTACCCGTCTAAAGGTCTAAATGATTGAATTGTTCTATCGTCTGGGTCGTTCTGAAAACAGATGGCCCTCCTGAGCCTCATCGAAACTCGCTTGGACCAACTGGTCGACGCGGGGAGTTGCAAGGCGCCTGCGACAGCCAGTGTGCCACGGAGCATCCAAAGCGGTTCCGCTGCAAGGGGTCCGCATGCGCCTGGCAGGGCGAAGAGAGTTTCCCAAAAACTTCATGGGCTGTGGGCTCTGGGTCAAAAATAGGTAACCAAAATGGCCCCTGGCAAATGGAAGCATGGACTAAAACCTGCTGTCCCCTGGTGGTTTAATTTTGACCCATACGCATATATGGCCACATGGATGCTTGGGTCATCTATACCACGTGTATAAGCTTTTGAGGCGGCCTCCCCTTAAATAAGTGGTATAGAACCTCCATAGCTCCAAAACCCATACCTGGACATGCGGATGGACGAAATGTGTGAATTTCAACTAATGACACTTTGGTGCACATCAAAACTCGGTGGGGATTCATGTTCGCCAGCCACGTTTTTTGCGGTGCCCACAAAAAAGCTTCCTAGCCATACCGCCACTATACAAAGAGTCTACCCGTTTTCTCTGCGGGTGGCTTGAAGGACCATTTTTGAGGCACGCGACATGTGGTCGCTGACCGCCCGTGAGACAGCAGGGGCAGTATCAATGAGGCTGCTCTGTGTCCCGGAACAACGGAACATTCACCGAAAAAAATACCTCAAGCCCAAACTACCTGTCAATATTTTTGCAGAGATGTCAAGCCTATAGGACCTAGAGACTGGTAGATGACAACGTCAAAAGACAATCTTCCTGAACTGTCAAAGCCCCTTCAGGTTCAAAGGGAAACCTACAGCCAGGTTTTGAGCCACGTGGCGCCTCCACAAACCAACGGCAGGTGTCCAAATGGTTCTGCCAAACCTGAGCCGCAGCCCCTCAAGTAAGACATCCCAAAGGCTTCATGAGCATGTTAAACTAAACTGCAGTGGCAAAATCTGACCAATAGCTGCCACTTCTCACACTCTCAGTGAATCACAGAAGGCGAACAATCCTCATGGCTTTGGACAAAACTCTTGGCCATGCCCTTACAGCTTCCTTCCTGGTGCATTCAGTCAGTCCTTTCAAGGTAAAGCAACCAGGTGTTTTCATCCAAGCGGCTGCCAGCTGCAAAGGCGACACCTGCGAGCTTCGCGTGAAACTGTGAGGCTTCCTATGTGCCAAAATCTGGGCTGTCGGGCGGTTCAACATGTTTTGAGACCCTTCGGGTGGTTTTAAAGGGAAGCCAAATGGAAAACCACTGGTTTTCCCTTTAAAAGGGACGCCAACTGGAAAACCGCTAGCTTTCCCCCTGTTTTTTTTCTCTTGGGGGGGGGGGGGTATTTTGAGACTCGCAAAAGGAACCAAAGAGCTTCAGGCCGCCTCATCGCGCGCCAGCGCGTTGGCGTCGGACTTGGCCGCTACCAGCCAGCGGCAAACCTGCACGGCGATGCGCAACAGCAGCCCAAGGCTCAGTTAGTGACCCTGGAAAAAAGGGAACCTTTTTGGGGAAGACCAGTTTTAGTGGGGCAGCCACCCAAAAAAAAGGAAAAATAATTGGTGCCACTGAACAACTGAGAATGAAGCTTGGCCGTGTGCTTCACACGTATGACTGGCATCCTCTTGGCAAGCTACAAGCTGATCGTCCAATGGAGCATCACCGGCTCCAATGATGCATAGATAGGATCTCAGAAATCATGATGTGTATTGAAGTATCCCTTCCTCCCAAACACAGCTTCCAAATCAGCGCACGGCTTGTCCAAAAACCTTTGACTTGCAGTCTGATTCGCGGACAATACTTATGTGTGCATTGAATTGTGAGGGCGGGCAACAACAGCTATTCGGAAGGTGAAAAAGTCAAACTGGGCATCGATTTGCTCTGTCCATTTGTTGGTGTCCTGCGTTTTCACAAGGTGGGGTATTGGCTATTGGCCCAACAAGGCAATCTTTGAATCATGGAACCACCCAACATTTGACAAAACGTGTCCTTTGGGTCGTGTTGCCCGTATCGACCTTTGGGATTGTCCACATGGTCGAGGGGTTGCTTGACCATCCCTTCAACTCAATTTGGTCCCAAATGCAAAATCCAAGTGAGCTGAGCAAAACCTGACCAACCCCAAGGGTGCTACACGTTCCTTGGAGCCCAAACAAAAATCTAGGCGTACGAGGTCTCGCAACATCTGCCGCCTCCAGGCGTCCGTTGCGCGCGGCGTAGTGCAAGGCCGTGCGCTGGTTCCAGGTCCTGGCCCATCGATGCACCCAACCGACGGAAATCGAAACGTCACACGAGAAACCCAACGCTTTCGGATTTGATTCCCCGGTACATAGCACATACCCAAGCCAAACGGTATGTGTGTGTGTGTGTATGTCTGTGTGTGTGCTTTTTTTCTTCGGCCATGGTCTCAGAGTGGTGCGAAATGGATTCTGTTTTATCACCAGGAAGCCCAAGCTTCTCTTGTTCTCCAACGGCAAGTACCCTGGCAAACGTTGTGGGTCTCTTTCAACCATGGCTTCACTCACCGTAGAATCGGAGTTCGATTTCAACCATCCACCGTTTGGGGGCCGACTTGGGGGCGACGGCTTGTTAGTCTTGGCCTCTGAAAGGGTTCGCTGGCTCCAAATCGGTGGCTTAAAGGGGGAGGTGGACTCAAGGGGCTGACAATCCACGAATCCCCAAGGCCGGATTTGCCCAAAAAGCGGAACATTTGCGGGGGTTTAAGTCTACCTTGTAATCAACAAAAAAGGGTGTGTCTTCTTTATTTGAAGGGACCCACTAATGTAATGGCTTTGCTTGTTGTGTCCATTCAAAGCTGCAAATGAATGGATGAAATTCCCCGAAAGTCGGTCATTTGTCTGGCGGGTTCCAATGATTTACCTGAGATGTCGAGGGGAAAACTGTGTTGTTTCAAAAGAATCTAGTACCCTCCCTCCAACTCATGTACTCTACCGATGAGTGGCTCCCCATTTGCCACGTCATTGTTTTTCCCAATTCCCGTGCGAGAGGTGCAACCAGAAGCGATTGACCTCTGAAAAACACCCTTTTAGCTTTTAGGGCCACTTGCGCGTGGGTGATGCTAAGCAAGGCATTCGAGCAACATCGTCCATACTGCAGCCCAAAGAGGGATCTTTCTGATCCAAAGACTCCATCCACGGGGCCAAAAAGCGCCTCATGGACAAGTTCTTGCCATCAACTCGGCAAACGCGTGTCTTGTGTGGAGTTGGTACCCCCGCTTTCTTGAGTTTTTTTTAGAGGGAGATCCAAAAGGAGACCCGCCATTTTACCAAAATTGCGGGTTGGAGTTGGTACCCTTTCTTGTAGTTCTACAGGGAAACCAAGAGGAACGCCGCCATTTTGGTGGTCCTCCCAAACAAAGACACGTCCAAACCCCTCTCAAATCGCGGCGGTGGGACGTGGCAGCGATGCCGGCTGCATCCAACTGCAGCAGGAACTCGCAAACAGCCAAGTGTCCGTTGCCTGCACAAATTGATGCTTCGGTCTGGATGCTCAGTCGGGGTTCCCCGAATTTCGACACAAACCCAATTGCAGTGCATGTTGGGGGTCCAAATCGATTCGACCTAGCGATCGTCCTTGGGCATTAGGATGCCTTAAGCTTGGTACGCTATAGCCGTTTGCCATACGAGACCTACGTCGGTCTCGGGCAGGCCTGCTGCCCAGTGGAGAGCTGAGCAGCCGTTGTGGTCTCTGGCTGCGAGAAGCTCCTCCGCCGGCAGCTGCTGAAGCGCCTGGCAGGGAACATGGACAAAAATCCTGCACCACCTAAGAAAAGGGAAACGACGCCGGCTTTGGTACCTGACCCTCCCCTGTTCTTGGGCTTTGCCTTTGGACTCACTGAGGTCCAAAAAGGGCGGTTCGTCTTTTTTCAGCTTGGACCCCAAAAATGGTGGCTTTCCTTTGGGTTTGCCACTGAAGCCCACAGAAAAAGGGGTACCCTCCAAAAATTGGCACGCCCAAATGAAGGGATCCCCTCGGTGCCACTCGGCCGGAGCGAAACCTCAACCGGACGCCCAGTAGGTGAGCTGCGAGGCATCGGCTGCGCAACTCGAGGCCTGCAAGTCGCCTCGTTGCGCTGCTGTGATGCCAGGACTCTCCTCGCATGGCTCTGGCACCCTCGACGCATGGCAGCTCGCTCTCCAATGTGAGGCTCCCTTCCAACAAAATAGGTCGCTTTCTGGCAAGGACATTGACATTGGAGTGGAAAGGACATGGGATCTACATCCCCTACAGTTTTGGCAGCCCTCATGTGCGGTATACCCATACTAACTGCATTTTGCTTCTTGCTTTGGGGCCACACGTCTCCCGTCTCATCAATGGCAACTGCGCATTTGGCGCACTGGAGCTCTGTGTTTCGAAGCACTTCCCGTCCTTGGCGCCCTTGCGCCCAGGGTGAGTCTGGCGCTCGGGCGAAAAGCAGCCATGGGACAACCCCCACATTACCGGCGCCCGCAAAGCAACCTTCAAGGGGTCCCACAACAAAGAAAAACACCCATTTCTGAGTCTGAACATGCAGCATTGCAAATACCCACATCGCCCAGTTCGGGCCTTCATCTGCTAAGATCACAACACATGAGTCGAAGCTGTGCCCCAACAAATTCGCAGGTTTCAGCGTTTGAGCCGCTCTCACTGGCCTTTGCATCAACCTCAAGGCTTTTCTGCCTTCATCGGCAATGCCCCGATTCCAAAGCACAGCTTGGTCCTTCCGGTGAATTCAAATGATGCCTGTTGCAACAACCGGCATTGCAAACCGCCATTCGCTAGCAGAGTGAGAGAACACAAACACAAAGTACCAGTCATGACCATTTCCCTGCAACACCAACTGGGAACATTAAAAAACAAAACGCAAGATTGTGGAAGGTACAAGTATTGGCCAAGACAGAAAGCTATTTCAGCGTTTGACTGGCATCCCCGTACCTGAAGGGGAGAGGCGGGGTGTTCATCCCCTTCTCCAATTCCATTTTCAGGTGGGCATCTGCTAAGAAGGTAACATAACTGTGGCACTGTGGCACTGAAAGAGAGTTCTGTGTTGACTTTGGCCGTCCAGACTCCGCTGGACTGAAGTACCCGGGTGTGCCAAAGCAGAAAGATATCATCCCAATGATTCTCATCCGAAATTCGTTGTGCTCTGCTCTGTACCCGGTGCAAAACGCGGAAAAAAACCCTTCCCCATGCTTCTCCAATCCTGCCATCCGAAATGCCCCTTTTGACAGCCGGCCAAACCCTCCCACTCCCGGCCTTGAGCTTGGCACCTGGATTCCAAAAGGCCTATGGTCGTTTTCGAGTACTAGGATGACCATCCCTGGTCCCAAGTGAAGGAACAGTCCTTTGACCATGGCACATGGCATTTCATGTGAAAACTTCACAGTTGGGCATCCAGGCTGCCACTTCTTTGAAAAACACACCTACAAGATGACCTTGTGCATGTAGAACCCCTTTCAAGCAGCTGGTTTTTGGGTGTCCCAAGTTTGGCCAAGATGTAGCCTGTAAGGAACCCTGAGCAACGGGTCATGCTTGTCTTTGCGAAGGCATCGGGCATTCTTTCTGGCCATGGACACGTTTGAGGATCCTCTGCCAACGGCACCTGTCATGTGATGCTTCGGTAAGGCATCGAAACACGTCTCACCGCTGAAGGAGGCATGCCTGGGACGTTTCGCGGCAAACCCACCGCAGAATGAACCCCAAAGTTATCCTTCCCTTAAATGGTTGGTGTCATGTTGGTTCCTTTTTAAATACCAACCGAAAGGGCTCCACCGATTTAAGACTCGCGCACATGGGTTGCCAAGCTTTGGCGCTTTGGTTTTCGAGATGCGCACGCTCCAGACCCTGCCTTGCTCTGTGCCCATGGGTCATGGCGCTGCTGTATCCGTTTGTTGCCTAGTTCCTCAAGCGGTACCTGTTTAAGTCCTTCATGGCTCGTTCTTGCACGCCACAAAAAGCGGATCTGACATTCATCTCCATTTGAGCCGCAGCTTCACAAACTCGCGCGACATTGCGGCAAACACTGCCTTCAAGGAATCAGCGATTCCAAGCCTTGACAAAAAGGGTCCGTGCATCTAGCCAGTGGGATGAAGCCGGCAGGCACGGCGTGATGGAACAAAATTTCGGACGAGCACGCACAATCACTCCGCAAGTCTCCACCAAGTGTCTCTCCCAAGCTGATCACTTCGAGATTCAGGCTTGTACTGCGCTCCCAAGTTGTCTCTTGCAGTTTGTATGAAGTATCAATGGGCCCAAACTCTCCAAGCCTTCCTTCAAGCTGGATTTGCTTTCCACCTCGAGACAATTTTATCATGAAGTCCTTCATGGAATCGATATCCGAGATCTTGGAACCAAAGAGGCCAAGGAGTCAGGTCAACACCTCGACTAGCACGACGTCAATGGCGCGCGCAGTGCGAACAGATTGGGGCTTTTTGGCTTCAAGCGCGTGCTGCTAAAGCCCAGCTTAAATTGGATGCTGGTCACTGACTTCATCGCCCAAATTCATTTCCCAGCTGGATTTGCAGCTTCCAGAGCAGGAAGCTCCCGCCTCAGAGCTCTCAACTTGACCAGCTGAACCGATTAGCTTCCGAATCGATGGACATGGTGCGAATTTCAAGCGGGACTCTGTGAAGATCATTTCGGTGGGGATTCATGTCCACCAGCCACTTTTGATCCCTTTAACATTGGATTGGGATAGTTTGGGGGGCTCGCATTTCATAGAACTAGGACCAATCCAAACCACACATCAAAGGTTACTGCTTCTTTTCTAAAGACGCAGACCAAGGAAGGACACCAAAAGCAAGGCTCTTGGTCATCCTTTAGACAACTCCCCAAAACACCCAAACTTAAGCTGACAAAAACCTTGAAAGTCCTAAACCCAAACCCGAAAAAACCATAAGCCTGAATGCGAACTCACTGAAGGATGGACCTGAGTTTGACCATTCGCCAACAAACAAATCACATTGGCTGTCTATTTTGAGGGGAAACTACAAGGAAACCCGGGCCCTACTATAGGGTTCCCCTAGTTTGAGATTTGGCAAGCTGGCATCAATTCAACAAGGCTACTTGTCCACTTCCTTTTTCGGGGTTGTTCGTCTCGGGACAGGTTTCCGACCTCTGCCAAAGCTGAAACAACCGAGTCACCATTTGGTCGAGCAGAGCATGTCACCCTCCAGGGTCTTCAAAGGGGCCATGCTGAAAAAACCAATTTACAAGGGCTGCTTGTTCAAACATGTTTGAACCAATCTTGAACAGCCTCTTATAGCCTCTTTTCCCAGAATTGGACTAGCTGAATAGTCTCATTTTCACCAATGACCCAATCTTCCTGTCCGAAGATCGAGCAGATTGGGTTCTACCTGCCAATGCTTCATCTTTTTCAGGTTCAATGGGAAATCCAAAGTATGTTCAGCATATGTTCCCGGATTTTGGGCCGATGCAAATCACCACTTGTGACACCAAAGGTCAAGCAATATCCGATGCCATGTCCCATTGTGAGACGTTCAGTGTGACACATGTGGGACATAATCCTTTCTCTGATTGTTTTTGGATCGCAAGAAACATGGCCCGAGGTCAGGATTCAAAAAGTGGCTTCAAAAAACATGTGTATATATATATAATATATATTATAGATATCTATTACATGTGGCACCCCCCCCAAGACGAAATGTCATGTGTGCGTTTGCTCTTTTTGGGGCTTGAAACCTGGGACCAGGCAGAGTTCAGCATGCTTCCCTATCTCACAACCCTGCGAAGTTGGGTTTCAGCGCATGTGTTAGCTCTAGAAATTACCACTTATGATGAGCCATTTTCCCATGATGGGGGGAGGGGTTGGCTCATTTGGTGAACATGAACCCAAATGGCCCGTTTCTTGAGGGTTGGCCTCTGCGCGCAAAAACTGGCGCCTTGGGCGCCTTGTCCCTGCGCCACTCCGGCGGATCGCAGTGGCGTCGGCATGGCTAGTGCGGCCGCCAGCACTTCGAAGTGGCGCAATCGAAGCCTAGGCCACGGCCCATTGGCAAAAACTGTTTGAGCTTCACAATGCTTGCGTATTTGCAGTGGTGACTTTTCAGGAGAGCAAAATAAAACCAATCAGCTTGGAGCCCCCCCCCAAGCCGCTGACCCCTTCTTGCCAAAAGGGAGGCGCGTGGGAAGACAACGACAACAAATCGTGGCATGCCCTGTTTCAACATCAACCAACTGTATTCCGAACGAACTGGCACTCATCCGGCATTTTGTGTTGCTGGAGTGACAGCAACCTGAATGCACCCTAACTCCCCCTCAAATCTTAAATGCCCGAAAGAAGCAGATTTCTTGGAGGGTTGGGTGATTCACAGATTCTCAAGTAGATTCTCATTGGGAAAACCAGACCTTGAAGCTTCTCAAGGAAGTCCGTTTTTTTTCCATATGGGTGTGGCTCAAAATTAAACAGGAGGGGCAAACCGCAGGTTTTGGTCCATGTTTCCACTTACCAGGGCCAGCCATTTTGGTATTCCGCTTTTTTGAGCCACAGCCATATCTTCCCAGACGTCACGTTGAGTTTCTGGCAAGGGCCCAACCCGCGAGGCATGGCCCATAGCGTAGCGGACAGACACGGTGTGGAATTTGCAAAGCGCTGCGGGAGGTGCCACCTTCCGGAATGCGAAGTGCCAAGGCTGCAAAACAAATACTGGACATATGCTGCAAATTACTGGAGAAATCTGCAATCGATATGTTTAGACATCTTGATGTTCAGTATCTATCGGGAGTTTTATTGACAGGGGATTCACTGGGCCAGCCATCATTCAGCGCGCCACGTGCATCTGGCCATGGCGGTTGCCTTTGGGTTTCCCTTTGAAACCAGGGATGCCCTCAAAAATAGACAGAACCATTCGGAATTCGGGTAACTTGCCATTTTGGCTTGCCACGGCAAGTCCACACAAGGCCAACTCATTGGCATTCACCCGCCTCGGGGTCAAGTAATCGAGGAGTCCTCTGCTGGGGAAGATGTTCCGCACCTAGAACGAGGCGGTTCTTAGTGAAAATGGCTTGGCGAGGTATCCTTTCGTTGTCTTTTTAGAGGGTTGTTGAGCCTTCTGGTCATCGGGAAGTGTCTGTTGTAGGACTTGCTGCCCTGGTGCTTTTAGGGGCAGTGTGTTGGAATGCTTTGGGTCGTTCTGAGACACACCCAAAGAAACCAACAACCGGGAGAATCATAAACCCTTTGGCTCTTGCGCTTAGCTGAGAATTTCCGGGGGGAACACAAGGCCCTCCCCAAAGCTTTTCAGGAACTGCCGGACAACGGGCAGAATCTTCGGAATCTTTGGCGAAGAGTTTGTATCAACTTTTTGCGTCCAAACAGCATCGCTTTCGTCCGGCGCAACAATCCCAAATGAAAGCCAAAAACAAAACCGGGCCCTCCAACAAGAAACCACACCCAGTCGGGAGACCTAACATTTTTACCCAATCCCGCAGGCCAAAAGGAAGCCTCTACCGCTTCATTGCGGGGACATATTGAACTACAGACAACGAGTCTTACACAGTTCAATCAAGTTCTGGTCTGACCAAGTCACACGCAATAAGAACAACAGCAACAAGGGAGCCAACGCAGGGACAAACCCTGCCGCTTCAGCAAGGTAAGGCGCCAAACGACAAAACAGCGGACAGGTGGTTGACGAGCGCCACCCTGCCAGGATGGGCAGCTGCAAAGTATGCCGCGCACTAGGGCGGGTGTTCTTGCCATTTGAGAGGCTGGTGTGCGGTTCTGAGCCGGTGCACTTCCGCCGGTGCGCTTACGACTTGGTAGGCGTGTGTGCGGCGTGAGCGGGCGCATTTGAGCGGGAACGCTTACCATTTGGCAGGAATAGATGCAACGTTGAGCGGCGCGGTTCGGGTGTTCTTCCCGTTTTGCAGCCGTATATGCAGCGCAGGCACTTGACTTACCATTTGGCAGGCGCAAAAACGCAGCGCTAAGCGGGCGCACTTGGGTGTGCGCGATTGAGCGAGTGTGTGTGCCATTCGGCAAGGCTGAGGGTGCATACTATTTGGCATATACAGCCGCTGCACCTAGGCTTCAAATAGAATTGGGTGGAACATGAACCAATCCACGAGTTCCCAAAGGATCCTGGGGCCATTGCCCGACCTATCCCAAGAAAAAACTTCACCTTGCAACCAGAGAAGTGGTAGTGAATGCCCCTGAAACAGTCAAATATCAGGACAAAAGGCAAAAAATGGGAATTGCCATACGTGGAGCTGGGGCCAAATCCTCCTTTTTCAGGGAGCTGGGGATGTTGCGCCAATGACTCCCGCCTTGTGCTCTCCGCGCCCGTGATTCGGCACGTTTGAGATCTCAAGCAAGCTTCACCTGTCGATGTCTGCGACACGAGGCGTTTTGCCTTGAACGGCGAAGCTGACCACAAGGATACTACGTTGATCTGTGAACGGAAACCCAACACCATCACTACTAGCCTTGTAACTTATGTAACTTGGTCATCTTTGCAATTGCAAGGACATGGGAAATCAGCTAACCGGTGGCATGTGTTCTTTCACTTTCCCTGGAACCAAGAGCTTTTTCTTGCAGCTAATACCCTTGTTGGGGTTGCCCTTTCAAAAGGTGGGGCTGTTGCATGGATTTGGAAGAAACCCCTACACAGGTACGCGCCAGCACCTGGTGTTTTGGAGCCCCTTGCCAATGCGTGCACTCAGCCCGGCACAGGCAACCCGACGCATTCCCAAGTTCTCGCTAGTAATGAACAAGAACTGCGTGGCCTCGGAAATGCATCCACTAGCAAGCAGGGGGCATGCTTGAGCTAGACATGGAGCAATCGGGGAGTCCTGTCAACTCAGGTTGAAGAGGGTATAGATAGAAAGATTAATAAATGGATGGATGGATGGAGGGATGGATGGATGGATGGATGGATGGGCGGGTGGCTGGATGGACGGACTAATGGACAAGACTAAAGACAAATAGAGAGGTAAATGCATCGATAAACAGATCGATAGGTAGATACACATAAATATTGTATATATGAACTTTCGTATATTTAATATCCCCCGCGACGCGGCCCACCTTGAAGATGTAAAGCAAATCCTTCAAACGCCTGTCACACAGTGGTCAAATATGTCCTTGAGAATAGCCTAAAAGGAATTCCGATTCAAAATAGCATGCAACATAATCATTCTCTAATTGGATTCATTGGAAGAACCAACCAGCTTGTCTGTCCTCACTAGGCTCCAATTGAGTTATAACAACTTTTCAACTAGAAGTCTGCTTGGAAAATAATTCATATCTAATTATCAATCAGAATCAAATTTCTAAATTAATTCTACTAAATTCCAATTGGAATCCTGCTTGGAAAGGGGTTCATATTTAAAATACCATTCAAAACTAAACTTCCAAATCCCAAAGTTAATTCTACTAAATTCAAATTAGAATCCTACTTGGAAAGTAATTCCTGATTGAAATCCAAATTAAACTCCTACTTGGAAAAGAGTGCCTATCTAAATGCTATTTCAACATAAGAGCTCCATTTAAACGCTTGGGCACAACATCCTACTGGCATGTAAAACATGAATCAATATATAGAAATTGCGTTGTAGTATACGATTGAGTCTTATCTGAGCCTGTCTTTTCCATGATTTGAGTGGGTAGCAGTTGAACAACGGAAGTGCTCAAAGTACCCGCTAATAAGGGCTTTCTGAAGCTTGGTTTTGGTTTAGTATCGGGTCAATCAAAAGTAAAAAGGATATGCTGTTTTTTGGACTTTGGCCTTAAACATATTTCTTAAAAGGGCGGAAATGCCGATAAGGGAAAGCGATTATGATCAAGAAGGCTTGCAACCAGTTGTCTTCACTCTCCTTTCCTTAAACTTTTGGCTTGAAGATGTAGCATTTTCCAACTGAACCTGCAAGAGTCCCCGCGAGAATCAGAAGGCACGCATTCTGGGAACCAGTTGCAAATCTTGTTGCCCAAACTCCCAGCCAGAACGCCGCGAGAACGCCTGGCTAAGACGCTTTCCCTTTTTGTGTTTAGTAAGATGGCGCTAGCAAGGTTGAGCGGGCCAAACCAGAAAAACGCTTCGATTCCCCGCGCCTCACGAAGGGTGCCGGTAAGCGACCATCCCGCTTGGAGCTTCTGAGAGATACGTGGCGCGTCCGCGACTTGCAAGATGCCACGGAAATGCGCGCGAAACGGTAGAACAAGTCGGATGTGACTCTGGCTTAACAGCTTGAGGCCAGAGGGTAGCCACCAAATTGAAGTCGAACTCCACCTGACAGAGCGATAGGCATGACAAGTGCGCCCGTGGAGTTGTCTCACAGGGAGAAACACCAAAATGGGCAGTCTTCTTGTGGTTTCCCCTTTTTGACAACCCCCAAAAAACCGCCCTCCAAACACTCGTAAGCCCTCGCCTGTCGATTCTCGCGGGCCAGCGCCCTGAAGTGCCGCGCCTGACTCTCGCCCGATCGTTGGCAGCCCAAAGGCGCCGAGCCATGACCGCCAACGCCGCTCATGGGAGACACCGGCAGGGATTGCAGGCAAGGGACCAAATGCGTCATTCCAGTGCGCGGCCTTCCTCTCGCATCCGCGCTAATCCGATCGCAGACACGTTTCATCTGCCAATGTTTCATGAAATACGGGTGGGTCTCCTTGGGTACCCAAGAATGGGTGATGTCCCTTTCGACTTTCTTGAATACAAAGTCCTTGAAGAGAAGTGACCCTGCAAGGAAAAGATGTCGCCGCGTCCGTGCAGCAAGCTATTGCAGGTACAAACGCGCACCCTGCTGGCATACGCGGAACCTGATCGATCACGACTTGCAATTTCTAGCAACGGGCAATTGAACGTGTAGAGTTTCTGCAGTTGCAGTGCATCCAGCTCTTCACAGAATGCAGCAAGAAAGCGGCATCGGGGCGGCAAGCTTGCTCACGCCCTGTTATGTTTCCATGACAGCCGGCTCTCAAATGCACTCATCAAAGTTCTGAATCGAACAAGAATGGGGCGCATGTACAGAGCCCTCGTTGTAAAGTGCGCCTGCAAGGGAAAGGTGTCGCCGAGTCCATGTGGCAAGCTGTAGAAGATGCAAAGCTGCTGGCGTACGTGGAAGCTGCCTTCTGCCTTCTAATTTCTAGCAACGGGGACCCGAATAGCGATCAAGCTTGTAGAGCTGCATTGCATCCAGCTCTTTCACACAATTCAGCAAGAAAGTGGCATCGGGGCAGCAAGCTTGCTTCCATGACAGCTGGCTCTCAAATGCACTCATCAAAGTTCTGAATCGAACAATAATGGGGAGCATATACAGAGCCCTCGTTGTAAAGTGCGCCTGCAAGGGAAAGGTGTCGCCGCATCCATGTGGCAAGCTGTAGAAGATGCAAAGCCAGAGCTGCCTTCGTACGTTGAAGCTGCCTTCTGCTCACTTCGAATTTCTAATAACGGGGACCCGAATGGCAATCAAGCTTGTAGCACTTCTGTGCATCCAGCCCTTTCACAAAATGCAGCAAGAAAGTGGCATCGGGGCAGCAAGCTTGCTCACAGCCCTGTTCTTTTCCATGACAGCTGGCTCTCAAATGCACTCATCAAAGTTCTGACTCGAACAAGAATGGGGAGCATATACAGAGTCCTCGTTGCAAAGTGCGCCTGCAAGGGAAAGGTGTCGCCGCGTCCATGTGGCAAGCTGTAGAAGATGCAAAGCTGCCTTCGTACGTGCAAGCTGCCTTCTGCCCAATTCTAACTTCTAGTAACGGGGACCCGAATAGCAATCAAGCTTGTAGCACTTCTGTGCATCCAGCCCTTTCACAAAACGCAGCAAGAAAGTGGCATCGGGGCAGCAAGCTTGCTCACAGCCCTGTTCTTTTCCATGACAGCTGGCTCTCAAATGCACTCATCAAAGTTCTGACTCGAACAAGAATGGGGAGCATATACAGAGTCCTTGTTGTAAAGTGCGCCTGCAAGGGAAAGGTGTCGCCACATCCATGCGCAATGCTGTAGCAAATGCAAAGCTGTTGGCGTGCGCGGAAACTGGCTGACAACAACTAGGCCGGCCTGTAGCACTTTTGCTGTTGCAGTGCGTCCTGCTCTTCACAAAACGCAGCAAGAAAGTGGCATCAGGGGCAAGCTTACTCACAGCCCTGTTCTTCTCCAGAACAGCCGGCTCTCACGTGCGTTCACAAAAGTTCTGAATCCAACAAGATTAAGAACGGGGTGCATTTACGGAGTCCTTGTTGTGAAGGGGGCAGGCAAGGGAAAGGTGTCTTCGCATCCAGGAGGAAAGCAGCCAATCTGCTGGCGTACGCGGGAGCTGGCTGCTGCCGACTTGCCATTTCTAACGCCGATAACCTGAATGAATCAGCACTCGAACTTACAATCGAAGTTACAGCACTTCTGCAGCTGCAGTGTATCCATAACTTTGGCACAACTCCGCAAGAAAGTGGAATCAAGCCAGGGTGCTTGCTCGCAGCCTTGTTCATTTTCTGTTTTCATGCTGGCCCGCCCTCCCATGCATTCATCAAAGTTCTGAGTCGAACAAGAAGGGGGTGGTGCATGTACGGAGTCCTTGTTGTAAGGGGGGCAGGCAAGGCAAAGGTGTCTTCACATCCAGGAGGAAAGCTGCCAATCTGCTGGCGTGCGCGGGAGCTGGCTGCTGCCGACTTGCCATTTCTACCGCCGGCAACCTGAATGAATCAGCAATCGAACTTACAATCCAAGTTACAGCGCTTCTGCAGCTCCAGTGTATCCATACCTTTGACACAACTCCACAAGAAAGTGGCATTAAGCCAGCGGTCTTGTTCGCAGCCTTGTTCAAGTTCTGTCTTCATGCTGGCACCTCCTCCCATGCATTCATCAAACTTCTGAATCGAACAAGAAGGGGGTGCATGTACGGAGTCCTTGTTGTGAAGGGGGCAGGCAAGGAAAAGGTGTCTCTGCATTCAGAAGGAAAGCTGCCAATCTGCTGGCGTACGCGGGAGCTGGCTGCTGCCGACTTGCCATTTCTAACGCCGGTAACCTGAATGAATCAGCAATCGAACTTACAATCGAAGTTACAGCACTTCTGCAGCTGCAGTGTATCCATAACTTTGACACAACTCCGCAAGAAAGTGGAATCAAGCCAGGGTGCTTGCTCGTAGCCTTGTTCAAGTTGTCATGCTGGCCCGCCCTCCCATGCATTCATCAAAGTTCTGAGTCGAACAAGAAGGGGGTGGTGCATGTACGGAGTCCTTGCTGTGAAGGGGGCAGGCAAGGCAAAGGTGTCTTCACATCCAGGAGGAAAGCTGCCAATTCGCTGGCGTACGCGGGAGCTGGCTGCTGCCGACTTGCCATTTCTACCGCCGGTAACCTGAATGAATCAGCAATCGAACTTACAATCGAAGTTACAGCACTTCTGCAGCTGCAGTGTATCCATAACTTTGACACAACTCCGCAAGAAAGTGGAATCAAGGCAGGGTGCTTGCTCGTAGCCTTGTTCAAGTTTTCATGCTGGCCCGCCCTCCCATGCATTCATCAAACTTCTGAATCGAACAAGAAGGGGGTGCATGTACGGAGTCCTTGTTGTGAAGGGGGCAGGCAAGGAAAAGGTGTCTCTGCATTCAGAAGGAAAGCTGCCAATCTGCTGGCGTACGCGGGAGCTGGCTGCTGCCGACTTGCCATTTCTAACGCCGGTAACCTGAATGAATCAGCAATCGAACTTACAATCGAAGTTACAGCACTTCTGCAGCTGCAGTGTATCCATAACTTTGACACAACTCCGCAAGAAAGTGGAATCAAGCCAGGGTGCTTGCTCGTAGCCTTGTTCAAGTTGTCATGCTGGCCCGCCCTCCCATGCATTCATCAAAGTTCTGAGTCGAACAAGAAGGGGGTGGTGCATGTACGGAGTCCTTGCTGTGAAGGGGGCAGGCAAGGCAAAGGTGTCTTCACATCCAGGAGGAAAGCTGCCAATTCGCTGGCGTACGCGGGAGCTGGCTGCTGCCGACTTGCCATTTCTACCGCCGGTAACCTGAATGAATCAGCAATCGAACTTACAATCGAAGTTACAGCACTTCTGCAGCTGCAGTGTATCCATAACTTTGACACAACTCCGCAAGAAAGTGGAATCAAGGCAGGGTGCTTGCTCGTAGCCTTGTTCAAGTTTTCATGCTGGCCCGCCCTCCCATGCATTCATCAAAGTTCTGAGTCGCACAAGAAGGGGGTGCATGTACGGAGTCCTTGTTGTGAAGGGGGCAGGCAAGGGAAAGGTGTCTTCGCATCCAGGAGGAAAGCAGCCAATCTGCTGGCGTGCGCGGGAGCTGGCTGCTGCCGACTTGCCATTTCTACCGCCGGCAACCTGAATGAATCAGCAATCGAACTTACAATCCAAGTTACAGCGCTTCTGCAGCTCCAGTGTATCCATACCTTTGACACAACTCCGCAAGAAAGTGGCATCAAGCCAGGGTGCTTGCTCGCGGCCTTGTTCAAGTTCTGTTTTCATGCCGGCGCGCCATCACATGCATGCATCAAAGTTCTGAATCCAAGAAGGGGGTGCATTTACCGAGTACTTGTCGTGAAGGGGGCACGCAAGGAAAAGCTCTCGCAGCGTCCAGGCGGCAAGCTGTAGCAAGTGCAAAGCCGTTGGCGCACACTGAAGCTGGCTGCGCATTTTCCAGGACTAGCCCTGGTGCAATGCAGCCATCACAGCTGAGGCACGACGCGGCCAAACTTGCAGTCTCTTCTCAAGAGCTTTCACGAATTCTGCCTGGCCGTCTCCAAAAAAGCTCGGGCTTCGGCAAACTCTTCGCGACAGAGAGCCTTGCTTCAACCCCTGCAAGTTTGTGCAAACTCCCTAAAGGATTCACCGCACTTGCAGCATTCCCATGTTGCCAAATCTTCAAAGCTCAGGCTGCGCTTTGTCCCATAGCGTGAGGGTAGCGACAAAAATCCGAAGGACAACATGTCATCACTTGGTACGGACAGCCGCGCAGCTTGCGCAAGATGCGGCATGGGTGTGTGCTTCCGCGGCTTCCGCACATGCCCAAAGTGGCGTTTTGGATGGGCTTGTTAGACTGCTCAAATTGTGCAAGTGGCACGAACAAGCTTTGTTTACGCATGACTTGCAGGACAGGAGTGAAAGCCTTCTTTTTCTGGAGAAAGTGAAATGCTGGCTGGTAGCTCCTTGCGGCCTTGCGCAAGCCAAGAAGATCCGTGCTTCCGCGGCCTTCCGCGAACACGAACTCTGCACATCCGGGGAAGCTGCCGCAAGCTTCCGCACTCACTAATCCTTCCGCGGAATCCCATTTTGGCACCCCAAGACTAAGTTTCTTCGGAATATTGATTGCTGCTCAGGTGTCAAGAGCACACTTTGACAAAGCTTTCTTTGCGGAAACGCAAGGGTCCCCGTTCAGCGGTTGCTGGAAAGGCCGTGGGCCAACCGCCTTCTCCAAGGGATAAATGCATAAGCACTAAACAGAGCTTTATTGTCAACCACAATGGACCCTGGAGGTGCAGAATGCTGCTCAACGCACAGGTTTGCAAGAGTGACCCACTCACTCATCAAAGTCTGACCTCAACGCGCCCTGGCCGTCGCTGTATCGACGCGGGATGCCAAAGCAAGCAACTTAAAGAAGCAGGCTTGCTCACAGCCCTGCTAAAGATATTTACGGCCAGCACTCTAATGCATTCATCAAAGTCCTGAATCAGACAAGGAAGGGGTGCAACCACAGAGTCCTTGTTGTGAACTGCACCTGCAAGGCAAACATGTGGCAAGCTGTACCAGGTGCAAAGTCGTTGCCGCACGCGAAAGCAGGATGCTGCGGATTTCCTGGTACTAGCCCGCGGAGACCCGAATGAATCAGCAGTTGTGAGGCACAATGCAGCCATCAAACCTGAAGCATTTCTGCAGTTGCAGCGCGCTAATGCCTTCTAAGAGATGCCGCAAAAGAGGGGCATCCTGGCAGCAAACTTGCTCACATCAAAGCTCTGAATGAAACGTGGAAGAGGTGCACCACCAGAGTTCGTGTTGTGAACAGAGGTCGTGTTGTGAAGTGCATCTGCAAGGCGCAGATGTGGCAAGCAGGTGCCAGAACCCATCTTTGGCGGACCAGCAGCTGTCCCTGCTTAAACCTCCTTTCTCATAATCTGCCTACTCCCGAAGGTGAAATTTGACTTTAGTGAAGGCTTGCAAGATTGACCCACTCATCAAAGCTCGGATTCAACGTGCCCTTTTCGCAATGCAAACTTGCAGCTTCGCGAATGCAACAAGACAGGGCATTCGCTGCATCGATGCGGGATGCCGAAGCAAGCAACTTAAAGAAGCAGGCTTGCTCACAGCCTTGCTACATATATTTACGGCCAGCACTCTAATGCATTCATCAAAACTCTGTATCAAACAAGGAAGGGGCGCAGAGTCCTTGTTGTGGACTGCACCTGCAAGGCAAACATGTGGCAAGCTGTAGCAGCTGCCAAGTCGTTGCCGCACGCGAAAGCCGGATGCTGCGGATTTCCCGGTACTAGCCGCGGAGACCCGAATGAATCAGCAGTTGTGAGGCACAATGCAGCCATCAAACCTGAAGCACTTCTGCAGTGGCAGCGCGAAAGACTAGTGCGTCTGTAGCACTTCTGCAGCTGCCAGCAGCCAGCCCTTTCGCGAGATGCAGCTAGACGAGGGGCATCCAGGCAGCAAGTTTGCTTACAGCCCTGCTCTTTGTCACGACGGCCTTCTCTCTAATGCAGTCATCAAAGCTGAGCATCGAACGCGGAAGGTTGCACACGCAGAGTCCTTTTGATCAAACTTACCTGGCAGGAAAGGCTGTCAAGCCGATGTGGCCAGCAGGTGCAAGGCCGTTGGTGCACGCCGAAGATGGCTGATTTGGATTTCCCAGTAATAGCCTCGGTGGCCCGAATGAATCAGCAGTTGTGAGGCACAATGTGACCATCGCACCTGTGGCACTTCAGTTACGACGCATCCAGCCCTTTCACGAGTTGCAACAAGACAAGGGCATGCATCGACAGATCCTTGCTGCCAATTGAGTGGTGGTTGGTATTCCCTTTAAACTTGCATTGACGTATCAAAGCCTTCCGCGAAGCTTCCGCGGTGTGGAGGATACCTTCCGCGAGCATGTTTCCAGATAAGTTTATATGGGTGCTTCCGCGGGCTTCTGCAAACTTCCGCGAGGAAGTTTTGTGCGCACGGCTTGCTGGAAAAATGTGATTGACAACAACTGCCAAACGAAATCAAACTACTATCGCAAATCAACAACGTCCCTTCCGCGAGCTTCCGCGGGAAAAAAGCCTTCCGCAAACCTTCCATGTACCGTCCGCGGCTGCAGTGCGGTGCTACCTGTTTTGTTGATATGTCAACATCTATACATGCTTGCTTGAGCGGCAACAACAAAACGCCAGAGCAAAAAGGTCTGCCAGGCAACAATGCGGCAATGTAAAACCTGTAGCACTTCTTCATCTGCAATGCATCCGGCCCTTTCGCGAGCAGTGAGGGCATCCAGGGAGCAAGCTTGCTCGCAGCCCTTGTCACGACGGGCAGCGGTCTAATGCAATCAAAGCTCTGCAGCCTTTGAGGTGTTGGTTTGAGGAACTGCTCGGCTGCGCGCTCACCCGGAAAGCGGGGCTACTACACAAACGCAAAACGCAAGGCAGCTCCAAGCATGCAAAGGACCTGCGACAGCACGCAACACCGCCCTAAAAGTTACAACGATTGCTTCATCCATGTATAGGCAGAGCAGCAGTCGTATGCATCGCCCAAGCGCATCTTGAATCCTGGACCGCTGAATGTGCCAACCCTCGGAGGCATTGTGCAGCCCGAGTTTGAATCAAATATGGAATGGATGCGTCTTGGTGCAGCCGAGCAAATGCCTTTGTGAGCAGCGCGGCATCGGCGTCGCTGGATCATTGCAAGCAACAATAGGAGGCGACCAAACTTGACATGTCTCCTTTGACCATGGTCTCTGCACCTACATAATTCATGTACGTTCCATTCCTTCAGAAAGGCGTCGGCCGACTTGCAATGCCATCTCAAGTAAAGGACACCCGAGCCTCATGGGTTTCCGATTTGGACGTCAACGCCTGACAGCTCTGCCTCTTTTGCAGTGCCGGACATGGCCACGGGCCTCAACCAGGGGCCGTCAGCCCTGAGGCTGATTTGCGGCCACAAAGCTGCAGAAGCCTTGTGCAGCCTTTCAGTAAGCCAGAACTTTTAGCCAGTTTGCTTGGCAAAAGATCCAAGACTTTGTGGAGAACAACTCCATCGAACCTTTAGCCGTTGTGCAATCAACTGCTTGCTTGCAGCAACGCCAAGGAGCAAGCAAGCCAAATGATGGCTTTGTTCATGAGCCAACTGGGCTGCGAGCTTTGTGTCAATGTCGCGAAGCAATGGCCTAACTTGGTCACCGGTGGGACAGCTGCCTCTAGAACACACAATCTCGAACACAAACATGCGAGGTCGAGCGGGAACCATACTCATTGTTCAGGCCTAAACGATATTCTCTAACGTCGCAATAGGTCAACAGCCTAAAGCGCATCCAGGCCAACCATCTGGTCTGAAGACACGTACGGTCATGTTGCTGAGCATCCCGATGCAACTCATGCGCATCGCTCACCTGGATAGCTGCCTTTCTATGTAAACTTGTTTTTTGGCCCCAGACATCAGAAATACATTCCGGAATGCCACAGTCCTTAGCTGATCCTGAGACTTCCCGGCACTCTTGGCCCAGTTGAGACTCCCAAAGGATTCAACTCGCAGCCACCACATGCCCGGCAACCTCCAGGTGCTTTACATAAACACCGTGAAAAGCACTTCTGCAATCAACATCTTGTCCAGGCCGCGCCTGTGCTTTCGTAGCCTCACACCTCCCTCACTTCGTGGCCCTGAGGGGGAGATCAGTCTGTTCATTGTGTCACAAGGGACGTGGCTCTCTTGCTATGAGCTCAACTCCCTGCCATAAGATCAAAGGCAAAACCGATGTACGTAAAAACACCAAAGCGCAACCCGACTGCGAACCCCAAGCCTCTCCCACGAACTTTCGCAACCCCCAAGCCTCTCCCACAAAAACTGCGAAGCCCGGCCCGTGAACTTCTGCAACCAAGTCCCCTTTCGTGAAATTTACGGGGTCTGGCCCCGTCTCGGTCGCGAAGTCCTGACGGCAAGCTCCAAACTGGCCCCAAGCAAGAGCGGCACCATGAACCCGAGCAAGTTCTGCGGAGGGACTTCCGCGAACTGCGTCAGGTCCGCATTATCCAGACTTGGTACCCCGGACATCTTCTCCGAAAGCCGCCTTGATCCCTGAAGCTCAAGCATAGAAGCCACCAAGTCTGGGTTCTGAGTACCCGTTTAAAGACGGAAGCTGTCTTCCTCGGTTGTGCTTCCATGTGAGGGACCCACATGCTTTTAAGGGCAAGCTGTCCGTTTCTGACCATAAATCCTCACAAGCGAGTCAAACTTTCCGTGTGGCGTGCATGTGGGACATCATTCCGAAGATTCAATCAGCTTTGACGTGGTCCACGTTGAAATTAACGGCCGTGTAGAGCATTGGCGCTCTGAGATGAGACCTGAAACTGCAAATCTAGCCGGAAAAATCAACTTCTCTTCGACCAGCATCTCCTACCTGAAGCGCACTTCCAACTCGCCTGCTTGCAGCAGATCTTTGTAAGCTGAGGTACACACTCAAGCAAGATCACCTTGTTGATCATACGTCTTAAACCTGCCAAGCTGCGCTTGCCGCCATATGTCAGCTGAACTGTGCCAGCTTTGCATCCACATTGAGCATATGGGCGTGTCTTTCTTTGAGGGTACCCTCGTTTGATTCGTTTTAAAGGGAAACCAAACGGAAACCAACCGTTTTTTGAGTCCTTCTATGAAAAGACCCACCAATATCAACAAATCTGCCCGAAAAGGGGCTGCTGCAGCGCTTCGGCACTTCCGCAATGGAGACCAATGCCAATGCAAGCCACATGAGGCGCTGCGTCTGCCACGGCCCATTCAGACTTTGGCAAACACATCTGGAAACGCACTGTGCAGGTTTCCCGTGTCTAGTTCTTTTGTGCAAAAGGCGCAGTCAACTTTGTTTCAAACAATTTACGTCATTTGCCACTCTGTCGGCGGACATGTGATTTTCCGGAGTTCAAGAACCCATGACTGCTCACAGATTGGCGAACCCCTGATTCACACCACTCCCTGCGCAGCAAAAGCTGTGACACATGATCTCACTTGATTTCTTCGTCAGCGACATCAAACGCTGTATTTGGCTGGCCACATTCTTGCCAGCACTTGATCTGGCATCGCCCCGCACGCATCAACTTTCCGGGTATCCACAAGGATCACTAGATTTGCCCTTGAAGAGTTGCAATCTACTGGTAGGTTCCTATCAAACTGCCACTGTCGGATGGAACCCCTGCCACAATCCCTGAGCTTCGCTCGCACAGCCAGACGAAAAATGGCAGCCGAGCACTGCTGCATGGTCAGGCGGATTTCTCGTGCTCGCTCGCGCCGGAAATTGTCAAAGGCAAGTGAGCCATTTCCTAAACCTGTCATGATTGTCTGCGCAATGACTTCAAACGATTTGCTTACTGCGTGGAGCAGTGAGTCCCACACTGGAAAGTTGTGTGCAAGCAAGGCCCAGTTGGCACAAATTACTCGGGCACCTTGTCGCAGCCAGCACGCAAACTGCCGTTGCACAAGTCAAAGACGCGGGACATTGCGGGACTATCTGCAAGCGTTCATTGCGCACAGCTCAAACATTGAGACACACATTGGTGCGAAACAGCGCAGCTGTCCTCTTCCGGCAGTTGACGTGCCTCATAACAGGCATCTATCGTGTTGCTCGGCGCACCAGGCAATGGGTGTGCTCTACCACGCCGCATTTAGAGCTCAACCAGGGCGCACCCAGAAGCTTGATGCCTGCCTGGCTGGCTCCCGCTATGCCTGCCTTGCTTGCGCAATTCATCAACAACCAGCTCGCGCAACAAACCAGCACTTGTTGAGAGACATCACCCCACATGCCGTAACACAGAACAACGCTGGCATCCTCTGAATGGCAAGCACTGCAAAGAGTCTTCTCAATGCACTTCAGCGCGTGACCTAGGGAGTTGCAGAAAACTTGTCGCGTGGATATTGCGCGACTAGACACCTGCATCACAAACGGTGTTCTTACGCGTTGCAAAAGCAACTCTTTCGAGGTGCACCGAGGTTCACAATTCCTTGCCCTCCCCCAATTTCCCTTGCAGCTGCGCAGCTGACGGCTCACTGACTGTCATGGGAGCTTGCAGCCAGCTCAAACAGCAAGAGATGGCCATCGCCATCCGACGCGCCAACTGAGCATGACCTCCTCTTCAGGTGATAGGGGCATGGCGGGTCCCGCACGTTCCACGCACGGGGTCTGGATAGCAAGACAGGTCGAACCATCGCAGGCTGGGAACAGGACGTCGCAGTGCGCCTTTCCATCCAGAAGCAGTCGGGCACAGGCACGCCAGCGAGATGTTCCATGTACATGCAGTGCATCCTTTTTCGCATGGGCGCAGATGTAGCAAACTCACAACACATTGGAAGCCGGACTGGTCAACAAGCCATTCGGCACATGAGGAACAAAGGGGGTTGCGAGTCCAGACTCCAGGCCATGGCGCCCTTCGTAGCCCTTACAGAGCTTGTCTTAACTCCCCACGGGGGTGCCTGGCCAGCCGCAAGACCGCAAGACTGCAAGACACCAGCTTGGTTCACAAGGTAGCGCCGTCAATCGGCTTGCTTTGGGCCATCCGTTCACCGGCGATATTTGCGTAGAACATGCCTCATATAAGCCTAGGCAATGGTAAGCGTAATCTCTTGTGACGCAGCCCGGCAACAATTTGCGACTCAAACATGGAAGGACTGAGAGATCCACGCAATTGCAACTCTCGCGATGAGAGCAGAGGCATGCCAAGCTCTTTGGATTAACTGAACCTATGTGCCCTCTCACTGGTCGAGCTACCGCTTCCAGGGACAAGCTTATTTCGCTATCTTCAAAGGAACAATAACGGCCTTCACGCACGACAACTCCGAGAGGAAGGAGCTTGTAAACCAGCCATCGTCATCAGCTACCTGGATGCTGGAGATCATGTGTGCCCAAACTGTTTGCTCGGGAGTGAAGTTGGAGGATTTCGTGGAGTGTGCGTCGTCAAGCAAACCCTCCAGCAGCTCAAACCAGCATTGCAAGTCTGAATGAGCGAAGGACGCCGGTGAAACATTGAACAAGCAATGCGCTCTACTGATTCTACACGCAGATTCGATGGAGAGACTCTAGATTGCGTATGACCCGCTTGACATCTGAACATGCTCTGTGTCAGCCGGACAAACAAACAACTGTGTGGATAATTTGGCATTGACTACGAGCAGCTCGGCATTGGTTCCGATGCCGCTATGGTAAATGCGCTGAAAATGCTGCTTCCCTTGCTGAGTTTTTTTCAGGGGGCTCAAATCACCAGCTGTTCCTACTGATTTCTGGGCTGCTACAGTCAGGCGATGCTCGGAATCTGGGTGTCCATGTGCTTTCGGCCAGCTGTGCAACGAACTCGACGTAAAGTTTGATCGCCCGACACCAAACCCTCGTCAGCTTTGGTTGCTTCACTCGCAGGGCAACGGTCGCTCGGAGGGCGCGCTGCCGCGTTCGCAGGCGCAAGACCTGCAAGGTCAAGGCCACGCCTAGCTCATCTCAAAACAAGGTGTGCGGGAAGCTCTGAAAACGCGTGCCGAGCCCAAGGCAAAGTCGCCATGTGGGGCTCCCGACACTTGACCAAGGCAAAAGCTCGGCCCACTGTCCTCTCTGGGGAAAATAAGCGACCCACGTGAAGCTGGCAAGGAAGCAGAGGTGGGCAAGCTACCGTCGGCCTGGAAATTCGGGGGCAAAGATATTGGCTGTTCAGATTGCCAACACGCCTAGGCTACACGCTCGCGGCTGGACGCACCCAGCGCATGCCCAATATGGAGAAACACCGCGAGCAGGAAAGGCTCTGAAGGAACCTTCTTGGAGGCTCGGAAAGGGCTGGAAAGGAACCTTTCAAGGTGCAAGTGTCTCTGATTTCAAATGTGAGCAGCCTTTGGGACCCGCTGAGACGAGATTGCTACCTTCGCAAAGCTGTGCGTCAGACTTCAGGCGCAAAAGGATGCTAGGCGCTACGACTGCCAAGACCAAGTGCTTGAAGCTTCTGCGGGGCGCCCTTCTTGCGGTTGGCTTTTGATTTGGAAACTAAAGTACAGCGACTTTGGTGAGGGAACGGTTCTCTCATGAGACCCAATCCATGTCTTCCCCACGCTGCAGCGAGCCGGTGATATCTCGTTCGCTGGCGCAAAGCCCTCATTGGATGAACTTTACTTTCCGCTCGCACCCGGCCCCAATTTTGATCACAAGGCTCCAGCTCTGCGTCTGTCGCCTTCTCAACTTGGGCGATTGATTTAGCAGGAGAAGACACACGTTTGACCTAAACAGTGAAAGCAGACATGATGTCTAAGCAAGCAAACACTTAAGGTGATTTCCGTCCAACCGAAAAGCACAGCGCTAGACCGCGGAGCGCGGCCTGTGCCTCACTGTATAGGCCGCTCTGGCCGGCTTCACTCGTTGCACAGCGCGAGAGCAAAATCTATGACATGCAAATGCAATCCGTGGCCTTGTGTAAACAACAAAGACGGCCGCACCAATTCATGGCTAGTACTGCCCCTTGCCAACTTTCACCGGGTTTTCATACTTTGAGTGTGGCTCATTTGGACACGGAGCCTTAAAGACCGAGAAACATCGGGGCCTGTTCTTCGGCAACAAGCCGCAACAGCGTGGCTTTTAGCGGCTCGATCTGATCGAAAGGCAAAAGCGTCAAACGGCACACGTCATGTCACGGATTATGAGTTCCACATCGTGGAGGCTTCCGTCACGCAGGCAAAATACTTCCGGGTGCGTCTCGAACTGGGGCCCGTTTCGGATGGTTTGAGAAGGAAATCGAAAGGAACCACCTACACGTGAGAAACACCCACATGGAACCATTTCAAGTGAAGCCCAGTTTCAGGTGAAGGCCGGCAAAATGACAAAGGTGACAGGTCAGAGCTTGACAAATCAGTTCTTGGGAAAGTTGGGCAAAGGCAGTACTGACACACTTGGGAATCCAAGGTCACATTGACATCAGCTCGTGCCACGTGACATGCTCCGGTGCGCCGAGCTCCAAGACCAAGTTGGGTTTGAAGCTGCTGTCGGGCGGTGCCCCCCTTCTTGTTCTAGTTTCTGATTTGGAAATCAAAGTACAGCGTCCGTGTTGAGGGAAGGGTTCTCCCTTGAGACCTGATTCATTTCTTTCTCGGCCATACATCTGCATTGCGAGCCCGTGGTCGCTTTTGCTTCGCTGACGCAAAGCCCTCATTGGAACTTTACTTTTCGCATCCAGCCTCAAGTTGAACACTTCTCAAGGCTCCAGCTCTGTGTCTTTGCCTTCAATGGGTTGTTCTTCCCTGAGCAAAAGGTCTATGGGGGGAAGGTCACACCAAGGACAAGCCATGAACTCGCAACAAGCTGCATACAAGATGTATCACGGCGTGACGATGGAACTCGCTGCATCTCGCTGTGTTTGATCCAACTCTTGAGGGCCCTCCAACAGGGGACATTAGTGCCCCTTTTGCTCTCATTTCGAGGCTGGAGCGAATCCCTTGATTCAGGCTCCAATGAATCCAGAGTTTTCACCTGCGTTCAGCTTCCGACACCTTAACCATTTATGACAGGCTGTAGAGCTTTTGATGGCAGCCTGGTATAAGCTCAGCAGAAAAGCCAACAGATGCTGTTGAGCATGTGCAACTGTGTCTCAGTCAGTCTTGCCTTCCTCAAGCACCAGCCATAGCAGCTCGCATAGCCCGCAAAGCCACAGACCGCGCCAATGTCTGGTCTGTTCCAAATGGTGTGAGCTCGCCCGTCCAATTGAGGGCAATTGTCCATGATCCCAAAATGGAATTCACCGCCCCTTTCGCAACCCAACATCAAGAAATCCAGTTCAGGCCATGC